TAGCCGCTGTCCCCTGTCCTCTTCAGCCAGCAGATGTGGCACTCTGCCCCTTGTTCCCATCAGTACCAGCATGCACACTCCTAGTCTTGTTCTCACACTCCTGCTCTGGTACATGTGCTCACACTGAGTACAAGCAGCCCTCGTTCCATTCCTGCTTGCAGCAGTGTGCAGTTCCTTGAGTACACATGTGTGCAGGGCAGTGTGTGTCCCACTCTGCTCAGAACAGCCGTGGCCCATGGCATTTCCAGTGTGGGACTCAGATCTCAGGTCAGTGATGGGATGATGTGACCAAAGCTTGCTCAGGAAGGAAGCAAGGACCGCCTAGGTAGCCCCTATCCAGAACAAGACACCATCACCCATGGGGCTCACAGCACAAATGCCTGGCAGCACACAAGAGCTTTCTCTGCTCATCCAAGCTGCCCCACAAACCAGCCCCATGCTGCCACCTCTGCCCTGAGCCAACCTGCTCAGGGCTGTGCAAATTTTGCACCGCTCAGCCCTGTTAGCAACAGCACTGTGGCCACCAGCTCCTTTCCCAGCCCCATGCCACGGGGCCCCAGCCAACTAAGCACCCACAGCATGTTGCCCCCAAGCTGTGCACCCTACATGCAAGTAGTCCATGTCGCACACATATCACTGGCCCTGCTCTGGCCCAGTCACAGCTGCAAAGCCGCAGCTACCTTGTGCTAATTAAAAATATCCCTCGTTTGAAGGAGCCAAAGAGTTGCTTCCTCTCCACTAAACTAGCGTGGGTTTGAGGGATGCCGTCCCCACCCTGAAAAATGCGCAGGCCACCACCGCCTTTGTCCTCAGCCAGACCATGGCCACTCCGCTACCCAGGGGTTATTTTTAGTTGCTGTTAAAAAGGAGAGGCAGAGTGCTGGAGGCAGGCAGTGGGCAACCAGGTACCCGGCTGGACTCGGTGGTGGCAATGGCCTGTGGCTCCAGAGCATGCCCTGGCCATCCTCCACCTGCCCCGCTGGCCTGTGTCCCCAAGCGGGAGGGGGACGGGTGCCTGGCCCTGGTCCCAGCCCCGGTGGGAAACAATAAGAGGGATGCTGACCCCCGGGCGCCCTGACGTCAGCCAGCACCACTGCCGGCACCACCGCCAGCCCTGGCCCCGGGGCTCCCACTCGCCCTCGGCTGGGGCCGCACTGGAAACTGCCTGTTTGTTTATCTTCCTCTCCAGCGTTGCTTGTTTTGATGGTACATCCTCCTCCTCCTCGCCGGGCCCCGGGGTCGAGCCGTGAACCCGCCGCGTCCTGTTTGCCGAGGTCCCGCGCTCCGCTTGCGGAGGTGTGGAGCAGCCGCCCCCGCGCCAGCCACAGCAGATAAAAATACACAGGGCAGAGCATCCTGGGGCGCGGGGGCTATATTTGCACTGATGGTATCCGTGAGCTTGTCCTCGATGTACCTGTCCCTGCCCTCCTCAGAGCAGGGGGCACGGCGCTGCAGGAGCATGCTCACCCTTCTCACGCTAAGTCGGACCACAGACTGGCATAAGCTGTGTCATGAAGCGTTGACCATAGCCAAGCTGGGGCAGGCTCTCAAAACCCCTGGGTGGGCACCCCACCCGGCCTTGTGAGGTCATTTCTGTAACCCAGAGGGACACCTGAGGACAAATTATCCCCAACCTGCTGGGTCCTAGACTGCTGGGAATGGTGCTGGGGAAGCCCCAAAGCCCGGAGCCCTCTCCAGCTGCCTGCTCCTTCTCCTCATGGCGTGAACCCCTGGGCTTGCCAATAAAAGCCACCAGCTTTGCCTCGGCTTGTGCACAGCCACTGCTCTCCTTCCAGCTCCGCTCAAGCCCAGGCAGCTGCTCAGCAGTGAACCCTTGCCAAAAACTGTGTGTGTGAAAGCATCATTTCCTAAACGTATAAATATTACCAGGGCTTTGCTGGAAAACTCCCCATGGTTAGTTAAAATGCCCTGGACAGCCAAGTGCACACAAGTCCAGATGAAGGGCATGTCTAAGCTGAGAGGCTCTGCAGCTCTGCCCTGAGGGACTGACAGGTCCTTTCCTCTCCATGCGGGATACAGCAAATATCTGGGAAGTGAGCAAAGCTGTGGAGCACTTGCCCACATCCAGCCCTGGACCACATCATCACAATCTCTTTCCAGCCAAGGGGTGCTTAACACAACCAAACATCCACAACCTGTAGCCCCATTTCACAGCTGGAGATACTGGAAGGGCCAATAGATCACTCTTTTTGACCTTCTGTCCACTGATGTTCAACCATGCACATCCCAAGACCAAACCCAGCAACTTGGTTTTCTCCCAGGCAGGCTCCTGGTCCACTTTTGGAGACATTAAGAGACAGAGGATCAACCACTGCCCTTGGGAGCATTCCCCAACCACTGGCAAGAGCAAACCCAAGTGCCTCCATTCTAACTCAAAATTCCCTGGCTCTATCTCCCAGTGCCTGGCTTGTGTACCACTGCTCTCTGCAAGATTAAAGAGAGCCCTCCACTAACCAGCATTTTCTCCTTGTAAAGACACACACACTCTGTAATCAAGGCGCCTCTGAATTTTCTGCCTGATAAGCTAGACAGAGCTCTTCCCTTCCAAGTCCCTCAATGCCACACTCTCTCCCCAGTCCTCAATTCATTCCTGTGACTCTGTGCTGACTGTCCAGCATCTTTTTGAAAATCTAGACATGGAAGTTGCTCGCAGCATTCCCAGTTCCTCGCAGCATGTCCTGAGGGACTCCAGCTCCTTGTGCTTCTCCTTTCAGGAGCTGACAAATAGAGTATTAAATTGCTTGGAGGCTCTGCAATAACTGCACAGAGACCATGAGGTCATCCAGACCACCTTTCTGCTGCAAGATGAGAGAAGAGAGACTGGACCGAAGAGCCAGTTCTGCTGGAAAAGAGCTGAAAAGCCATGTTTGGTGTTTCTCACTAACACAAGACGTAGGAGGCATCAGGAGGAACGATGGAGTACCACATTCAAACCAAAGACAGCAGCCGTTCGCATCTCACAGCTCATTGCTGCAGGATGGCATCATCAGCGAGTTTATAAAAAATGGGACGAATGCACAGAGGACACACACCCTCCCAGCAGAACAAATGCACAATTGCATCCTTCTACCAGCCTCTCCCCTGCAGCCAGTGCTCAGCCCTGACTACCAGATGATGCAGAGGGGCAGCATCTCCCAGAGCCTTCCATTCCCTTTCTGGCTCCAAGACACTGCTCCTGGATTGTTCTCAGGACACACAAAACCATCTGCCATCCCGTCTTTTCAGCCTCTGCCAGATGTGCTCCACACCAGCTGCTTTTGCCAGGCTCTGTGCAGGGCTGCCTCACTCCCCTCCTGCCCACTCTGAATCTTCCCCCAAGCCCCACACCCTACCAGCTCTTGGAGAACTCTGAATTTCAAGCCTGATGCTCATCTTTAGCAGATGTTCAGATGACTCTTCTACAAAGACACTTCATCATCCCCCTATCCTGGCACATCTGCCTGCACCCTCCCAGCGACAGCACTGAAATATTTACCAACTGCTTCTGCCATGTCTGATCCAGTATAAATCATTTTACCACCTCTGCCTACTAATAAGCTTATCCTATTGCTTGGAGCTTGGGGTTTTCTCCTACTACACTAAATAAAAGCCTTTCCTTCTATTCGTCGCCATGATTTTTCCCTGATGTCTTTAGCTTCTGTTACCCATTTTCTACACTTCATAATTTCTAATTTATATTGATTGCTATCTACTCCCGCTCTCCCATTTGTTATAAACTGCTCTTTTATTTCTAATTGCTGCCTTCACTTTGTCGCTGAACCAGAACAGGCTCTGGGCCAGTACTGCCCTTTTTCTTGATTGTGGAATTGTGGCTTTTTGTGGCTTCTGAAATTCTTCTGAAAGAGCTCACCATTTTCATTCATATTTTTCTATCTAAATGTTTCCTCTGAACTGATTTCACTCATAATTTTCCCCCTGCTTTGGGAAATTAGCTCTTTCAAGGCATGAAGGATATAAATTACTGCTTAGGAATGTCCTTTCCGTGCCCAGGGTGAATGTAATCTGGTCATGATCACTGGTCCCTAGGCAATCTTCAAGTCACAGCCCAGAAGTGAATTCATCTCTATCCTTCATAATTCAGGGGAAACAAAAGTTGCCTGCAGTGGATGCAATGCCTCCCATGTAAAAGAGGGATCATCTCTAATTTTTAGAAACCCTGCAGATCATCTATTGTTGGCTGCACAAGAACATCAGCTCATCTCATAAAGCAACATCCTCCCAAAGCCCACTTGATACCAATGGCACCCTGGCTGACTCCTTGGTCCCAAGCAGGTACCATTGCTCCCCACTCCTGTGCCTTCACAGCAAGCACAGGAACACTCAGAAGCGTCCTGAGTCCATCAATAGGCATCAAGCATTTCTCACCTTGACACATCAGTTTGAATCATTTTAGTGCTCCTCTGATGATTTCCAGTAATACAAAAGAATCAAAGACTCTCTCCTTCCAGTCCCAGTTTCTCTGAAGCACGTTTGATTTTAGAGCTGTATGCCAAGGGGACAGTGATAAGCAGAGCATGGATAACATGCTGAAAAGCTCTTGTCCCCGCAATGTGTCACTGCAAAGTCACCTCTAAAAGCAACAGGTGAACTAAAAGGAGATGGCTTCTCCTCATTCACCTGATCCCTGCCTGTCATCAGCAGCAAAGTTTAGGTCCAGAGCAAGTGTGGGAGGTGGGTGAATATGCCCCAGTGATGGCACATTCCTGTGGAGCAGCCCACCTGTCTCACACCTCTGGCAGCTCCCAGCAACCAGGTAGTTCCCATCTGGCCATATCAGGCATGTTCCCAGCTCTGCTAGCCTAGAGATGAGGCGCAAGGACACAAAGAGGGTCATGAGCGAGCTGGAGGGCATGGCCCCTCTTTAGGCAAGTCTAGCTATCCCCATCAGTGCTCCCATCCTGCCTGGCACACCTCACACTGCTGATGACAGCTCCAAGCACCCCTGTGGCAAAGGAGAGAGGACTTGCACCACTCCTTACCTCAGCCATGAAGTTCTGCTGAAATGTCTCCTCCCGGAAGGGCTCTGTCTTCAGGCGGTCTGCAAGGTAGAGAGGGATCAGCCTGGGCAGGTTTGGCCAGACCTCCCGCCCTTCTCCTTTCTCTGACCATGGGGTGAGGATGCTGCAGGGGAAAAGCTCCAGCATGCTCTTCCCAGAATCAGCAGGGCACACCAGCAGGCCTCCTGGGCTAGGTACACATCACCTGGTTAGCAGAAGGTGCAAGGACGGAAAGGAAGTTGAAGTTGGTTGAGCCTGCTGATGTATACAACAGCCAGGCAGAGCCAATAGTCCATCCACACTTGTCCCAGCACTTGTGCACTGAGGAGTAGGGAACAGTGGCAGGACATGCTCAACACCATTCCCAAATCTTACAACTGGAACAAGCTGTCTGAGTCTATGGGACAAGTCACTGTTTGTCCAGCTGCTCATCTGAAGGGGTGAGCTAGCCTGTGTCCTCCTCTTGCAGGACAGGGACAAACCCCTGTTATATTCTGCTCTGCACCTTGTCCAAAACACTGGTTTTTCCACGTTGTTGCTAGGATGTGGTCTGGAGAAGCAGCTGGCTGGATTTGCTCAGCCACTAGGGTGCAATGGTTCCTCCCGGCTTTCTGCCCTGTACCAAGTAAAGGACAAGAGAGGACAATTGCTCGCCAGCATCCGTCCCTGGACCCAAGACATGTTGTCCAGGCTGCTCCAAGCCCTGCAGAGATTGCACGCAGCAGGACAGAGGGAAGTGCAGCTGGCCAATGCTGCTCTAGTACACCTAAAGGGCAGATCCACGTTCCTGCGATGGGGCACTGGTCATGGGACAAGGTCTGGACCAGAATATCTTCCTGGACATGACATACAAGCTCGGGCTAGCCCCCACTAGTCCCTGCATGCTCAGGGTGCAAGGTTCCTGCAGAAGTGCAGGTATCACCTGTGGCAGCAGGACAAAGTGTGGCAGTAGCAAGAGATGACCTGAAAAACCCAGACAACCTCCATGGGTGGGGAACAAACCACCTCCAAAGGTGGCTCCCCCAGCAGGTCCTGACCCATGTCCTACCCAAGAGGGCTACTGTCTGCCCATCACCCCGATGGCAGAGTGGGCTGGGTGCTGGAGTGGGCCCATGAGCACAGCTGCACTTCCCATGTTCGGGAGAGCCAGGAGCCCCTGGTTGCTCTCCAAGCACTCCGTGAACTACTGCACTTGGGAAGGGAGCCTGACACCACTGCAGGGTCAGCCCTTGCTGGCATCCCCGCTGGCTCCTGGGGACCAGCCAGGTGCTCTCAGAGTAGTGGAGAGCCCCTTGGCGACTCCCCAACTTCTACAGCTATCGGTCAAGGGCTGTTCCTCCCCCAGCTCTCCCCAGAGGCTGCTCCCAGCCTTCTGGCTACTGTTATGCTGCTGGCTCAGCTAAACATGAAACACAAGCCTGGCTGGGTAATAGCCAGAGGGAGCAAAGCACGCCAGCCCAGTGCTAAAGAGGAAACTCGCTACCTGCCCCAGGCATCCCTCCTCACCTCTGCTGAGAGTGGCCCCACTCTCCCTGTAATCTTCAATCTCAGCATCCTTCTGGAGAAGCAGGGAAATCAGCTCTTGCACCTGGTACTGCAGCGCCAGGTTCATGTGAATCAGGGGCCGCACGAGGTGACGGAACACCTACAATGGAGGAAGGACGCTCTAGGAAAGGTCTAGGGAGGCACACAGCTGTCCACAGAGTGATCAAAGCAGGGCAGCCAGCAAGGTCTTAGCAAGAGCTGCAGTCCAGGTCACACAGGGCTCCACAAAATACCCCACATCTCACCCATATCCAGCAGGAAATGGTCAAAAGATGTGGGAGAAGGCAGGCCAGATGCTGTGGGACACATCCCTCCATCCCAGCTCCATCCTTTCACAGCTAGGGGCTGTAGCACGAGAGAGCTTAGGTGGGAGAGCCCGATGGAAACAGAGTGCAGGGATAAGCAGTGCCCCACCCACCACCTGGGGTGCAACAGGAAACAGAGAGCCCCCCATGTGCCCCCCAGACCCTCCCCATGGCTCTGCACACCTCATAGCATGTTCCTATGCAGGAAACAGGCACGGCTGGGTGAAAAATTAGAAAGACCCAAGGTGTCAAACTGGTTTGATGAACAGGAGAGACACTGCCAGGGAGGTAAGATCAAAAACTAAAGAGATCCCAACATGCAGGGCTTGCCCATGCTCCCCATTGCAGCCCACCAGGATACCCCCTAAGCTTACACCTACACAATCTCCATGCAGAACCCTGGGCATGTCCTTTGTCTTGGAGCCCAGCTGGGCCACCTTGGCCCAGCAGGCACAGAAAGCAGCCTCTCTCCTATCACCTCCTTCGGTCTCTGGAAGGGTATTTGAGATCCCCCAACCTATCGTGCCCCTTGTTTCTGTGGCCAGGCTGAGCCCATGGGTTAGAGACCAGCAAACCCACTCCTATAGCAAGCCCACAGTGGGCTCTGTGCTTTGCTCACCCCCAAATACGACCCCAGAGGTGATGGCCATCACCCACTGGAGCACTTGGAGTGCACCACCTGCAGCAGAGGTGGGATGGGCCAAGCCAGGTAGGTTCTATGCCTTCCTCAAGCCCCTGGCTGGGGTAGAGTTGGTGCCTATTGCTGCATCCACACCAGCCACACTCAGGACCCCAGCTGCTTCCCACCTCTATGGTGTCCTGCAGACATCCAGTGCGTGTCCAAGATAAAGCAGAGGAGCAGGCGGGAACAGGGGCTTTGCACCACCTCAGCTCAGCCTCTTGCCCGAGGAGGGACATCAAGTTCTTGGGGTAAGCCAAGCCGAGACCCCGATTACCTGCTCTCCAGCTCAACCATGACAGCGAACAGCCCCCACAGCGGTGGGGAGCCCAGCGATGCCCAAGCACAGCCGTTTGCGGGCAGAGGAGACGCGCCCCGCAGCGGGCCCGGGCGGGAGCGGCGCTCCGGGAGCCGCGGGGCCAGCCCGGGGCCGGGGCTCCGCCGGGCGGTTCGCGGACGCCGGGCGCCCTCTTGTGCGCGCAGGGCCGCAGAGCCCCGGGGGGAGCCCCGGCCGCAGCGCTGCCCCACCTGCAAGGGCCCGGCACAGCGCCTGCCTCTGGAAACGCAACATGCCGGGCAAGCCCGTGAAAGAGCAAACCCTCAAAAGCCGAGAGACTTCGCTATAATTCCGCCCGTCGTGACAGACCATTTGGGGGTACCCGCTGCCCTGTGCCCCGCTTCGTGGCTTGCTCCTAAACAGAACAGCATCACTCTGCTCTACAGGGTGCTGGCAGGGCATCACTTCACACTGGACACAGAATTACAGAAAGGTTTGGTTTGGAAGGGACTTTCAGTATAATTCACTAGATCAGGTTGTTCAAAGCCCCATCCAACGTGGTCTTGAGCACTTTCAGGAATGGAACATCCACAACTTCTCTGAGTCGCTTGTTCCAGTGCCTCATCACTCTCATAATGAAGAATTTTTTCTAGCAGCTAATCTAAAGGTCTCCTTTTTTAGTTAAAAAACATTTCTCCTTATCCTATCACTATTTGCCCATGTAAAAGGCTGTTCTCCCTCTTTTCAACAAGCCCTCTTCAAGTACTGGAAGGCTGCAATGAGGTCTCTCTGGAGCCTTCTCTTTCCATGCCAAACAATCCCATCTCTCACAACCCACCTTTGTAGGAGACAAGCTCCACCCCTCTTATCATCTTTGTGGCTCCCCTCTGGACCTCCTCTAACATCAATGTTTTTCTTGCGCCAAACACCCCGTATTTGGATGCAGAACTCCAGGGCTCTTACAAGGACATTTCACTCATGTCCCAGCAGCAGTATGTGCTGGGCCATCCCTGTATCGCTGCATGACACAATCCAAAGCCTCAATGGGAAGAAATGGGGATAGTAAGCCTTGGGAGAGGCAGAAGGCAGAGTCAGGCAATCTACAGTCTACTGTAGGCTACTTAAAAGCCTCTAAGCATAAGGAGATAATCCTTAAATTGGCCAGTCCCCTCCCTGAACTCTCTGCAGCTTTGCTCACCATCTCCAGGGGAGCAGGGCAGCAGTGGAAGTCCCAGTAGAAGGGCAGTCCTGACAGCTCGCTTTTCACGTGCAGCCTGAGGCCACTGGGAGAGCGGTGGCAGGAGAAAGTGGTGGTGGCACCTGGCTGTCCTGCCAGCAAAGGGCACATCAGGTTGCTCAAGTGGTTCAGGAAGGAGGACACGTGAACTGTCAGCCGCTTGTTCAGCTCCTGGGAAAAGGCAAGGTTAGGGGGCACAGCACAGCACTGGGGAAAAAACCAGCAGAAATCCCAGCACCAAAGGAGTCCAACTACTGCATGTTCCACAGCAAAAAGCCATCCCTGGGCCTTGGCTTCCAGCTCTCTGACATGACATTCCCCACTGATTCTCCCAAGCCACCTATGCTGGAAAGACTCCCCTATCCTGCCAGTCCAGGATGGGCAGGGTGCAACGGTCTGCACTAGCACATCTGTTCTGCATGACACCACAAGCACCACAGTCTGGCTGAGAGCCAACAGCAGGACAACCTGCCAGAGCTAGGGAACGGCTGCAGCCATTTGCCTGTCCCTCCTGCCACCAGCCACTCAGCATTATGTGACACTCCAATGGCACGTGAGGGCCTGGGTACATGGGCTGAGGAGATGAGGCACAGCTCCATGCATTTTGGGGGGCCAAGCTGACAGGATGCCCCATGAGAGACTGTACTAGCTATGAATGTGAACAGAATCTCTCTGTCATGAGTAGAAGGCAGCCTTGTTTCAAGCTCCTCTTTAGTACATTGACCCTGGGGAAAGCAGCTGCCCATCCAGCCCACAAGTGAAGAGACTGTGCCAGCCTCTGTATGCAGACCCACATTAGGCATGTTAAATAGTGTGGCCCTCTCTCCCAGGAGAAGGGTATTTGCCCAAGTGCGGTGACAGGGCTTGGGCAGAACCACACAGGGACTTCCCAGGTTGGGCATTTGCACCCAAGCCCAGTCAGACCCAACAGCCATTGTGTCACCAAGCAATTTATACTGGCATGTCAGCTGCTAGGAGGAGAAAAGGAGGCCCCTGGCCTTTTCAGACACTCACCTTGGACCTTTGTCCCACAGCCTCGGCATCTGCACTCTCGTACCAGACACTGCTGAGGTCAGAGATCAGCAGGATATAGCCAGTATCCCTGAAGCACACTTTGGCAAGAAAAGTGGACTCTCCAAAGCGAACAGAAGCCCAGGGCTGGGTCAGGAGGCTGCTCTCCAGCTCCTCGGAGCCCTCCATCTGCAAGAGAACAACCAGGTCTCTGCCTCAACGCCCGTCCAGGAAGACCTGCTCCCTGGGGTAGTCTCACAGGGACCGTCAGTCCTGGCTGGCCCACTGATGATGCAATCCCACCTGACAGCACAGAAGTGAGGATACTCAGCCAGCTCTAGTCACATCTGCAAGCAGCAGAGCTGGGGAGTGTGTTTTGGGAGCTTTCTGCAGGGCAGTTCCTGCCGCAGCTCACAATAAGCACCCCAGATGCAGCAGTGCGCGCACGGCAGTGGAACGGCTGCCTCCCCAGGGTACCCGGTGCTTGCTGGCGTTACCATGGCAAGAACTCTACTGAAATTAACACCTAGGCTGCCCCGCCGGCACCAGGCGGGTATCAGGGTGCTGCACCCTCCTTCTGCTGGGGCAGCCCATTCCTGCGCTCCACGGCAGCCCGCTCCGTCCGTGCCGGCAGCGACACCGGCAGAGTGCCGGCAGCACACCCTTGCTTCCCGCTCCTCCCTAGGACGGGCTCCACGCCTCCCAGAGCACTCGGGGACCCAGCGACCGCGGGGTGCCCGCGGCCTGGGGCTCTGCGGAGCCGCAGCATTACCCAAGGGCAGCAGGAGCAGGCGGCCGGCAGATGCAGAGGCACGGGCTGGCGAGCGGCGAGCGGCGCCGGGCCGGAGGCGAGCGCAGACTACAGCTCCCGGCATGCTGCTCTCTTCCGCGGCGTGCGGGCCGGGGCACGCCGGGATGGGCGGCTCTTGGCGCTCCGGGAGCTGCCGTCCCTTCCACTGAGCCCTCGGGAATACGCGGGTGTTCCATTGCCTGCTCATAAGGACAGCGAACCGAGTGTCCGTCTAGAGCGTCCGCGATTGTCGCAAGGGATGCCACGGCCAAGATGCTGATGGGGACCGAAATGCCTTAGGACTTTATTCTGCGCTTGCGCCTCCTACGAAATGTCCCGGCACAAGTGCCCAGGCGGGTACGGGGCCCGCTGCAGCCGGAGAAGCAGCGGCCACAGCTTTACTCGTCAGCCCCGGAGTGCCGGAGCAGGCATAGCCAGGGCACGCACCCGCACCGCTGCTGTCCCAGGGTGCTGCACCACAGTGAGCCCTGCATAGCTGGGGCTGCAAGTGCCTCTGTCCCCAGCCCTGGGCTCTGGGCAGCACTGTGCCAGCTTGACACACCACACACCTCCAGTTTCCAAACCTCATCGCCCATTCTCTGACTGTAATCCCCCACCAGCACACCGTGCATTGAGGCCATCCAGGCTGGGCCCACAAACTGCTCCCGATGTCACCGAGTCTCCCATTTACACTTTTTGCACACCCTCTCCCCAGCAGGCAGGCTGCAGCCGCCTCCCCGGGCAGTGACATGGGAGTGTAGTCTTCACACAGGGTTTGGATCTTCACAGGGTGTTAGCATTACACTGCTGCATACAGCTGTGGGGGTCACAGGGAGCTGGAGAAAGAGGTCACACCTGGGGACCTGCACATACAGTGCCACCTCATCCCTCCCACCCTGCATCCACCTTTGGGTGTTTCACCTTGGCACCAGGTGGAGGGAGATGTTCTTCTCCAAGGAAATCCACTATTGGCTAGTGTAGGCACAAGAGCAATGCCTAGGGTATATTTATATGGTGAGCACTACTGGGCCTATTCCTAATATAACTGACGTCCATTGTTTGGGAAACTGAGCTGAGTTGCACCCCAAGCCTGCAGTATGCTGGAGTGCCAGAGCACTAGTATATACCTGGTGCCATGGGCAGCAAAGGGCCATAGGCACAACTGGGACATCGCAGGGAGGAGGTGGAGAGTTAGTTGCTCCTGAGCACAGTGCCAGAAGGTGAGCATAGGCAGAGTGACAGTGCTTTGGGGCTGGCCAAAGCACTGAACTCTCCCCTAGCACCAGAGCGATGGTGGATTGTAGAGGTACACACATCCTCAGCTGCAGTGGCAGCTGCAGGTAGTCCTGCCCTCCAGGCACAGTCCTCAAGGCAACAGAGAAGCCCCTAGATAAATCCCATCTGGAAAGAAAACCCCTGGAAAAGGCAAAGTTGGTTGAAGGTTTTTTTATATCTTGCTCTCAAGCAGGGAAATCAGGTTTATAGTAGGAGGGTGGAAATTCAGGTTCCTCCAGTCCTCGAGGGCTTCGGAAATGAGGAGCAAAGTGGCTCACAAGCTGCCTTGAGAGCACAGCCCTGTTTTCACATCAGGTGCCCCCAGATGATAGGGTCAGGCCACAGTGTGCCATGCAGGTATGTCTGTCTGGCTCGGCCTTATTGCTGGCTCTAGCTCCCCAGAGCTGGGTTTGGGGAGTAGGTGTGTCCCTTCCCCCGGGGCAGCAGTCCCCTCATCGGTGGCACAGCTGCCCCCCTCCTCTTCCTCACTCCTTGGGCAGAGGAAGCAGCACAGAAAGGCTTTGCAGAAAGATGGCAGCAGCCTCCTTAGCCCAGTGGGAAGCCTATATGCTTGGCTGGCTTTCCCACTCTCTCCATGGAGGTGACAGTCACTAGCTCTGGCTTTCCATGGCTGCTCAGAAAGCAGCCCTCGTTCCTCCAGTGTTCCTGCAAGGAGGGAGGTAGGCAGTGAAACGAGAGCCCCTCCCTCCTAAGGCGCATCCTCCTAGCCCACACCAGCCCCAGCAGCCTCAGCAGGACTGCCTGGAGGCAGAGCTGGTGGTTTGCCCCAATAGACAGATCCAGTCCTCAGAGCAGGGTATATGCAGAGCACCTAGAGCAGCCCCTCACCTGAGACTGTGTTCTCCAGAAAAAACGACAAGAATCCAGTTAAGAAGACAGGGACCATAAGCAGGGAGAGGAAGAGGAGGTCCAGTGGCATCCAGCCTGCAGAGACAGTACCAGAATCAGCCAGGAGGTCCCAGTCCAGCCAAGTAAAAGGGACACGAGTAGCCATGGCAGAATCAGGGTTTGAAGAGGTAGCTGCCTGCTACCATGAGCTGACCCAGCCTCCCAGAACACTGGAGATATATGGTCACCATGCCATGGGACTCAAGGCATTGCCTTGACAGGGGAACATCCCTCATACCTGTGGCCAGGGGAGCCAGAGCCGTGCCAAACCACCGTGGTACCAACAGTGCCATGAACATGGCAAAGCCAACAATGAAGATGTTCCTCCCTGAGTCAATGTCTGTGTACTGGAAGTAGGAGATCCCCGTGCCCACAGCCACGGCGTAGGTTACACAAAGCACCCCTCCTGCGAGGGGCAGGAGTCAGGCAGTGCCAGGCAGGCTGCAGGTGCCGCAGCAAGGGGCAGGGCAGGGTACCCACCGTGAATTGCCAGTGGGATGTGGGTGAGGAGCCCTGCCAGCCTCGGGGACATGCCCAGCACCATGCACATCAGGGCACTTACTTGCACCGAGAGGCGAGAGCCAGCCTGGCAAAAAGAAGAGAGGGAAAGTGAGGATGTGTAGCATCACCCTCTGCTCTGTCTCCCGCCCCCCTTTTGCTACACAAACCTGCCTTACCCAGCACTGGCTCGGTGACAGCCTGGCAATTACAAGCCTTGCACACCTGTTCAATTGCCTCCCCATCCCTTGCCAGCCCATTTCCCCCTTCTTTGGCATACCTGCGTAAGGCCAGTGGCACAGGTGTTTGCAATGCTGGAGGCTGTGCCCCCTGGGGTACCCAGAAGTCCCGCCAGGAGGCTGCCCAGCCCTTCCATGCAAAGCCCCCGGTTACAGGCGTGAGGGGGGAGCCGGGGGATACGCAGCAGCCTCCCACACAGCACATAGCAGCCCACAGAGTTCATGCTGCAGCCGATGGCCATGGCGACGCCCACTGACAGCGCCCGGGGGGTGAGCAGCGGCCACCTCCAGTCTCCTGCAGCAGACGGAAAAGGAACAGGTGATAGAAGTCCTGTCCAAACGTGGATGGCTGCACTCATCCCTGTTGCCCCCCACCTGCATAGGGAATGCGAATCCAAGGGGTATTGAAGGTGCTGTTGGCCCAGGATAGCTGTGCTATGGTCACATCCACTGATTCCCAGGGAACGTGGAAGTAGCTGAGGATGGCACAGACAGTGCAGACACCAGAAAATGGGAGCAGTACCTGCAAGGCAAAAGGGAACCCTCAGCAGAGGATCCTCCTCCCCTGCCTGCCCTGGCCAGCACCCCATCCTTGTCCTGTCACATGTCCCATGGAGTCATGCCACATCTCCCCTTACCCCTGCAGGAAGCATCCCAAGCTGTTCTGCTCCAAAACTCTAGGTCCCCAGCACTTCCCCAGAAGCATCCACATTTTGGGATCCGCACCAGAGCTTTTCATCCCTGCCTGTGCTCCACGTCTCACTAAACCCACACCAAAGAGCCAGGCTTGAAGAGAGAAGGCTGGTGACAGTGGAGAGAGCAGACAAACCACAGTACCGAGAATGTGCGCAGAGTGGGAACTGAATACTCTGTGGAGCCCTCCCAAGCATTGGGCCAGGCGCAGAAGGGCAGGCGGCAGGACCGCAGGTGTTGGGAGAAGGTGACAGCAAGGAGCATGAGCCTAGAAGAGTGAGCACACATCACCACACAGCATCACAGTCAGTGATGGGGCCCCAAAAGTGCACCATGCACTGCAGAGGTGCCCCATCCTTGTCCCTCTGGGGAAAGAAAGCCCCAGGACCCGCCCACCAGTACAATCCCTGGGCTCACATACAGCAGTGCTACAACCCAGTTAGTGGAGCAGAAGAAAGCAGCTTCCTTGTATGCAGACAGCCCGATGATGGAGAGGCTGGGAGCCAGGACCATGGGCCCACAGTGTCGTGCTGCCCACCCACACATGCCAGACACTCCCAGCACCAACTGAATCAGCCCAGAGATCATCACTGCTCCAGAGACCTGAAAGAGGAAAGGATGGGCCTGTGGGGTAGGATACATGGAGAGCAGTCCAACATCTTCCCTTGGCCACATTCCCACTGCCCCAGCAGCTGGGAACAAGCACTTGTTTCACGTGCTCTGCTGACCCCAAGCACAGAGAAACATATACTTGGACGCACATCGTGATCCCCATTGCCTTCGCACCTCTCTTCATGGCAAATCTCAGGAAAAGGGACTGGGGGTACAGAGATATGAGTAACAAGTGGAAAGCTGATGGAGCAGGATAGGGACCTCCGTTCCAGCACAGAAGCACCCACCTCTTGCAGTGAGTCAGCCCAATTCCCTGTGTCTCTGCAATGGGGTACAAGGCATATACTGGCCATGGCTGTGCCTGGAAGGGAATTTTGGAAGGATGTGATACACGCGTATCCTGTACTCCTGGAGCTGTGTCCAAGAGGGTGCAGTAAGGAGGCTGCTGGCTGCAGAAGGGGAAGTGTGCCAGCGTTCTTGTCTCTATAGGCCCTGGCCCTGGGGAAGTAACCAGTTACATTGCAAGTGCCCTCAGGAGTGAGTAGGGT